CCCAATCCTACTGGGAGAGGGAGGAGGGAACTCAATTGAACTGGCAGCTCAGTATGTGATCTCCTGTAACAGCCTGAGGAACAGTGAGTCTGTTTCCCAATAATGCTCAATCTGTTTATAGTATATGTAAATCTTTTATGATATGTCTTTGTTGTAAATGTCTGTAGATTTTATTTTACCTTTATTTTTTGTTTTGTTTAATGTGAATATCATTATTTGTATTTGCTTTGGCAACACTGATTGTACCCATCAGTCATGCTAATAAAGCACCTTGAATTGAATTAAATTGAACACTCCCACTGTGAGGATAAACCTGGAAACAGCGTGAATAGAGACTAATTAAGTGAGTTAATTGATTCAGAGCAAGCCATTAAGAGCCCAGAGTGGAGGCAATCCTGGTGATACAGGGGTTCCCCAGGACTGGCACACTGAACCACTGCCATGCACAAAGAGTCACAGACCTGCCTACTGCAGCTCTGACAAGCAGCCGTTAATTCCCAATTACTAAAGGCCTGGAACAATTTAAGAATGATCAATTCAACAGGTGGATCATTTGGAACAGGAAAGAAGATCTTTCAGTCCTCAAGGACTAGTGTTCAGTGAAACACCCCTCTAGTTAATCAATTATAATTATGAATATTATTAAATAATAGGTAATTTAGGGTGACCTATAAGAAAATCAGATTGGGGTTCACACCCTAGACCTATTGGAACCCTTTCTTAAACAATACTCCAAGCAAATTATAATAATTCACTATATAGTTGAGTTATATGTTACAGTGTTATAGTTACATAGTTAAATTACATTTTTATTTACATTTCTTAGATTCTCCTTTATACCAGAAAGCAGGAGGTAAGCATTCTAGCCAATTAAATATTTCAAGCCTTAGAATGAACATTAATTTCTGTTCATCTGTAGATTCTGCACATTTTGCCATGTTCTTATTTAGAAGACACTTTCCACATTAGTTAATTTTGCAAAAATACATTGCAGTCATCCTTGAAAACTGGTTTTATGTAGTACCACATTGACTGTCATTTATGTACATACAGTTACACACCAGATGAACATGTGCATTTGTTTTCATTTAAACAACCTTACAGGTCTACAACAAAGAGGAAAGTCAACTACACATATTCTGGGAAAGACTGTCGACAATTTTGTGTATTTTATTCAATTGTATTGCTATTTTGTGCATTCAAAGATGTAGTCCTGAAAATAATCCACAAGCAGTCGTTCATTCACACTTTGAAACAACATTAACTCAGACATCACACACTGAAAAACAAAAGATTTATTAAAGTGCAATTTAATATTGAAAGATACAATTTAAATTTGATTTGAGCCCAATAAACCCACAGGGCTTCAATGTTTAAATTAAAGTTTTATTGATATACTCACAAAAAATATATAGTTTGCAAAAAGTTCTTTATATTCTCCAAAAAAGTACAACTAGAATATGTAAAGATGATACAGATGGAACAGTGATCAGAACAGAAAGAGAAAAAACATCCAAGAAAAAAGGAACAGTTCAACTGTTCACAACAATTAATAAATATTTTTTCTTGATACCCAAGATTATCAAGTCATGGTTTGAAATTCCTTTTGGAAGGATCTGTAAATATATTTAAGTCTTTAAAATCCTAGAAGGACAAGAGTGAGGTCTGACTCCTTGTTCATTTTATAAACCACACCTCCGCTCTTCAGATGCTGGTATGCGTGTCCTTGCAAGAGAAAATGAAGAATGTTTCTTTTTTTTTTTTAAAAAAAGAAAAACATAATCGCCAATTATTTTTTATGTACCCGCAGCAAGTGAAATTGCTAATTGTGCAAGAGGAGAATATTTCAAGCTTTTTGTAGAAGGATTGAGAATCGAGAGTACAGTATTCACTGTACAGAAGAAACAGGAGGTAGAGCTCCTGACAATTTTCACTAGCGTCAAATTAATAGTCTACTCTTGATAAATATTTGGAGAGCATACCTCAAATACCTTTAAAGTGTGCTACTGTACTCTTTAAATTAGGAACAGTAAACTCAGGGCAGCAAATAATACCGGACAAATAAAGTAGCTTAACGTACTTGACAGAGACTAAGAAATTCACAGGCAATGCAGAGAGAGAGGGGAGACGGGCCCACCCACTTGAACCGATATGACACATACAAAAAAGCCATTTTCCACAACAATACCCCCAACCTGCCCCACCCGAGAACAGTTTCAGAACCTACAAGTGGATACAGAACAAATGAAGGAAAAAAAAAAAGATCACAGCTGCAAAGTTAATATTGAACAGAAGATGCAATACCGATGATTATTAAATCTAGGGCATTTCTGCTGGTCGGGCACCTACCAAGCAAAGCGGTCTAATGAACAGAAGCAGTAGTACCTAGTGAAGTACAACAAAATATCCGCAAGATAGGACTTGCGTAGGTTTGTGGTTGGTAAGAGGCACCCACTTATTTTCTGCTGGGATTACGCGGAAGAGCGAGCTGGTGCCCGGCTGTGTCCTGAAAGAATTAGCACTGCAAGATGGGATGCTGTAGTGCCTCTGTGCAACAAGGCTGCCATTGTACAATGACATTCTACAAGGGAACAAAATGGAATTGGAAACTCCATGGCATTAGACCACAGCTGGGACTGGGGCTGATATGTCAGCTCATGCACCTTTCATCTATGGGAATAGTGTGTCCTGACTAGACTATAGGGAAATGGAGTAGGAAAACAGTTATACTGTATAGTGTAAACCTGCATTGCATTGGTACACAATGTAAAGCATCTGGTATTATTTACTTTTAAACAAAGCAAACATTACTCTTAATTACGCTCTTCCCAAGCTCTGCAAGAATGTAGCTTATAGTAAAGTACTATAATAAAAGATAACAGGTTCTTGTTAAAGAGATTTTCATTGCTGAAAAATGACAACACATTTAAAAAATATCTTTACTAGGTACTGAATAGTTGTATAAATAATTTTTATTGCATGTTTCAACGTTTGTAGTGACTAGGCAGGCCAGTTTAAGTCTGATTAAAATACTCCTTGTAGCGATAATGACTGAGAATTCTACATGGCACCGGTTTAAAAAAAAAAGCACTTCAAAAGAGTTGATCTGTTGTGTTGTAGTGCCACCTGTGGGCAGTGAAGGAAGTGCAGCAGAAACCCCTAACTCAGGCAAATGCTTGTGCCTCCTCCATTATTTACTATTCAACGTTAACACAACTGGCTCTCAGAGTAAACGCAGTATACCTGCCACACCTGGGAGAATGCAAAAATATCCCTAGTCTTGCAAGTGGTCACTCAACATCCTGAAGTCACTTGGTCACTCATACAATCAACACAATTTGTGAATGTTTAGGGAAGGAAATAGAACATCAAGTATTGAATTACTGAAAACAGTATTAAGTTTGCTAAAATTCTGTTTGAGACAGTGAGGTAGTGTTATCGCCTAGTTACCCAGCCGATTACACCCCCCAGGCTGCCTGTTTCAGAGTACAGAGCTACGTAGGAAGCCAGCTTTCCTTTATCTCAACAAAACACAGGCAGTAAAACAAAGGTTTGATAACCCCGAAGAACAAAAAGAGAATGTGAAGTTGCTTGTCTTGATTTTCTTTTTGCAACACCAGGAGGTGGCCGACGTCGCAGGATTAAAAGCTCTCGTATCGGTACGGGTGCCCTTGTCTAGAGATGTCAAGTACAGATACAGGTGAGCTCCTACAGGTAGACTTGTGCTGATGATCAGTATTGGCAAGAGAACTGGGGTTTGGCTCTTCTTCACCTCTCAGTCAAAACATACACCTTTAAATCACAAATTAGTATACAGTGTAAAAAGTAATACTAAATTTTTTTTTTTTAGTTGATTTTCTTTTTTTGGCTTTTTTTTTGTACAAATGTCAAATAGTCTGTACATGTTAAAACCCTAAATCCCCTCTCAGTCCCTCAATGACAAAAGAATCCCTTAATCTTCATGCATAACTTGCAGGACCATTCTGAAGGATCTGTTTTTTTTTTCTATTTTTTATTGACTTTTCTTCGACTATATATTTTTTGTGGTTTTGTAGTTTTGTCGATTTTTTTTCCCCTCTCTGAATTTCTCTGTAATTTTGTCGGTTTTTATTTTCCAGTGTCCTCAACTTCCAACCTAGGAGTCTCGTCCCCGCTCGGTTCAGCAGGGGCTCTGTGTGATTTGGTTGAGCGCGCGCGCCGGTTCCCCGTCTCTCCTCTCCTGGTCGTCCGATCCCAGGGCGATCTGCTGCTGCTGCTGCGGTGGCGGCAGGCAGGGGGGGTAGGGCGCACGCCCACACGAGGACAGCGCGCTTGGAAAGAATTCCTTCATTCGTTTCTGTGCAAACCCAGGACAAATATAAAAGCAGCAAGAGAGACCGAGAAGTCTTCCCTTTCACCCTCACCCCATTTTTTTTTTAAGTTATAAAAAGTTTTTTTTTTTTCTTTATATATCCCACAAGGAACAAAAAAGTCTTCTAAAGAAAAGGTCCTGCAGCAGAATGGGGACAGTTTGGCAGAGTCTGAGGGGCAGCAGCGCCCCCTATCTGCAGAGGTCCTCGTGCGTGCTCTCGCGCGGCGGCTTCCTCTTCTTGCCGTTGTACTGGTGGTGCGCCTTGCCGCCCTGGTGCGCCTTCCCGCCGGCCGACACGCTGGGGTGCCCGGAGCCCTGCTGTCCCTGACTGCTCTTGGGGGCGGAGAAGCGGAAAGGCCGCGCTGCGTTCTGAAAGGAAAAAAAACAAAGCGTCACGCTGGGCCAGGAGCTGAACCCGCGGGGAGCTGCGCGGCGGGATGAAGAGCCGAGAAACACGCAGGGGGCGCGGCGGCCGCTGCGGTCGCCGTGGACTCCCGAACGGCGGGGCGAGCCTCTCACCTTGGCCTTGCTGGCGCCGCCGGCGGGGCTGCCGGAGGAACGGCTCTGGGCGCAGTGCTGGGCCGCCGACCCCGCCGCCTCTCGGTGCGCGCCGGGGGTCCGGCCCGCGAGGGGCTTGGCGCTCTTACACGGCGTGCCGTCCGAGTCCTGGGGGAGACAGCGCGGGAGAGATGAGACAAGGCCCAGCCGGTCTGGCACTGCCTGGGCAGGAGAGAGGATCCACGATTCGGGCTCTGTTAGGGAACTCTGCTCAAGAGACTTCATTTCCGAGGCCGTTCTCTTCACCAGCCTGATTTCTTCTACAAGATCATACACCATTGTTATACAAGCCTTTAGAGGAGTGGGGAAAGGTCTGGTAGTCTTTAGCAGCCCAGAAGGGTGTTTCTTTTATGATATATTGTTTTATTTTTAGCATTTATATAAGAACACTAGGTGAATATTAAGTTATTTCGTAAACTATATAAATCCGTCTTGACTGCATGAATAAGCCTAGGCAATCCTACAAGTGTACTGGTAGCCTCAGCTGTAAAAAGATGTATGAGTGAAGATTTGTGAAGTAACTCATAGGCAACACATGCAAACATTTGATTTCAGAGCAGACAGACCAGTATAGTATTGGGTATAGACACAGCTTTATGTTTCTGACCAAATAAAATATCTGTGCTGCTATTAAAAATACATTTCTATGAAAACAACTATTTTTACAATTGTAAATGTTCTGTTTGGTAAACTATCTCTTTTACTTGAAAGCACCCAGTGCCTGTGGGTACAGATGGCAGGGTCAAACAGCAGGGGGCGCAGTGGGGTTACTCACAGCGTCGCTGGAGCTGGAGGCGGTAGAAGAGGGGGAGGACGGAGAGGAGGAGGAGGATGGGGACGACAGGGGGCCGGAGGAAGAGTTAGAGGAGTGCTTGCTCCGCGATGGCGTCAACAAGACCACCTCCTCCGACATGTTGTTGTTGCACTTGTCCAGCTGCTGCGACTCCACAAATAACGTCACCTCGTTCCCTGTCAATGACAAAGGCAGCTCCTTTAAATATTGCAATTACTCTCTCAGGAAGATGCCCTTATCCAGGGTGGAGTGCAATATTGGACTCCACCCTGGATGGAGGAAGCGTGACAACAAGGATCAGTAAAAATGCCGATAAGACACAAGCACCGCAGACAGGATATCTGCTCACAGCCTGGTCACCAGGGTGAGACCTCTGGGCATTTTAGGAGGAAAAAGAAAAGCTTTCACGTATTTTAACTCTTTCATCTCCAATATCCCTGCTGTATTTCTTTGGCATGCGAGGAATCATTTCTTTTACATTTCATGAGATTCCCCTGCTGTTTCTGTCAAAACCCCAATATGGCATCAGCAGCAGCACGGTTTGCTCGAAGTCGCTTACGGTTCAAGGAGGAATCGTTATCGTTCTGGGATGGAGAGCCCCAGTTTTTGGTGATCCAGTCCCTGTAATCCGCCACCTCCTGCGTCACCCGGATGATCCGGCCCAAGATGCTGTTGGAAGGGAAGAGCAAACACTGTGGATTAATTGTACATGTTAAAAAGAAAAGGAGGGCTCCACAACACGATGAGGTCATTTCAACCCCTGTCCCTGTTTCTCAGTGACCCTTTAGCATGTCTGCACACTTAACGCACATCACATTCTTAAAAACTGGGATTAATCAGCATTCCTGGGAAAACAAGTCTGCTGCTGTAAGTAGTTAGTGGGTCAGTAGGTGGCGCTCTTTCCCCTATATGTAAAGTGCTTAAGGATCCTGGAGGATGAAAAGGATGAAAACTAAATAAATGCAAGCAAAAAAAACAATGCATGTGAATTCCAACCGCAATATGCTATTAAGAAAACAATCTAGCAACTTTCTATGATTCAACTGTATTAACTTCAGCTTTTAAAACGAGCAACACGCGGAACTGGAGTCCACTGAGATTTATTTTTAAGTTTAATTTTTGAGCTACTCGTCAGCATTTAAGGCCACTGAAGAAACTGCTTTCCTGTCCAGAAGCAGAGATAACAGATAAAGGTTTTGGTCCCCTTGCTATATTTTAAGTAGTTCATCAGAACATCTAAACTACCATCTGGTGAAATACAACAATCCAAATAAACAGATGGCGCTTTATTCAGAAATGTGCATTGTTTCAAGAACAGCAATTTTTCCCCAGATACAAGGTGCCAGTTCTTAATTATCTGGTGTAGCCAGGTGATTTAGGAGCCCATTGCATAAAAGCAATTTGCAAATCTTTAAAACTGCCAACGGGATGTTAATAAAAAAGAAAAGTATCTCCCAAAATCTTCGCAAGGCTGCGATGTTGCAGGTTTTCCTATCAGAACATACAGCTGCAGTCACTCCACTGGCCCCAGGACTGTCTGAACGCAACTACAAGACAGCAGGGAATTCTGGGAGACCCCTGGTTTCAGGAAGCGCCAACCCCTTTCCTTCCCAGCCTCAGGTGCAGGTGCTCAGCTGGGAACAGGCCCCGAGAGAGGCTCCTGCCACTCTACCTGCAGAGTAAGGGGGCAGCCCACAGCCACACGCTTCCCTCTCACAGAGGGTTCGGGACTCGTACCTTTCCGTCTCGTTGTTGGGGTAGTACTTGGCGATGGGCGACACCGCGTGGCCGAGGATGACGTAGGCGTAGTCAAACGCCTGTTTCACCTGCATGGCACCATACGAGCTGCGGCCCACGTCGTTGCCTGTGAAGCAGCAGATCAGAGGAACGGTCAAGCCTGACGCCAATGTGCCGTCGAGTTAGCTTCTAGAGCGCAGGAGCTGTGGAACTATCGGCTGAGGCACAGGCGGTGACGAAAGGGGAGTTCTGGGTCGTGCCTGCTCTGGGCAGGCCACGCTAGCTCCAGCACCCTCAAGTCTGTATAACAAATGTGCTCAGCACAGCGGTTCTTAAAGCAGGCCGCGGTGCAAGGCAAGCAAAAGCTTTCATCCCAGCTTTCACCCGGGGGCGCCTGCGGAGGGACGGACAGGAGGAAGGCAGGCCGGTCACTTGCCTGGCTGTAAGGGGTCTTCGATGTAGAGCATGGAGGGCCGGTACCCGTCCACCATGTTCTTCTGCACCTCGTCCTTGGCCACGTAGGAGCCGCCGTCCTTGATGCGGATCCCCGTCTTCAGGTAGTTAAAATGCCTCCCGTAGAGCTCGAAAAACTCGATTAAAAGCACTCCAATGTTGGCGTTGGGACTGCTGGCATCCTCCCTGGAATGCAACTAGGACAGACGTGTGGTCGGGTTTAATAATAATAATAATAATAATAACAACAATAATAATAATAATAATTGCTTACACTTCTATAGCGCTTTTCTGGACACTCCACTCAAAGTGCTTTACAGGTAATGGGGATCCCCTCCACCACCACCAGTGTGCAGCCCCACCTGGATGATGCTCTAGTACACTCCCCACACACCAGCTATTAGTGAGGCACAGCTTCCCACATTCACAACACACAACGAATACTGTTCTTTTCACTGTTCTAGCAAGAGCCGACCGCCTGGGAAACAGCACCGATTCCAGACAGCACGTACGTACGCAGCGACAGCAGGAACACATCTTCCTTAATCCCACACGGAACCTGGGAGCGGAGCGGACTCCACGCAGGCAGAGACAGCTGTGCAGGGAAAGCCTTGCTCACTCACCTGCAGAAAGCTGACGGCCATCAGGAAGAGGCTGTACGACCCGATTCCGCCTGTGAACACTTCATTGAGGTCCCGCTGCAACAGGAACTGCTTCAGCACCAGCACCAAGTAAGGGAGCACAGGATATTTCTGAAACAACACAGAATAACTGATGTAGACTGACGAAAGGCAAAGAAACTACGTACGTACTTACAGCATTATGGATAACAGCATGTGAAGAATTGCCGGTGTGTTAGACATCACTTCATACAGAGCTTCGAGATTTGGTCGAGATTAATTTCCACGTGCTTCACTTTCCAGCACCCACGATGTCACGCACATGCCCTCCGCTCGGCCCGGAGACGTGCAGCGGTCCCGGTCAGCGCCGTAAAGATCCGAGCCCAGGCCCAGCAGACAGGCAGGCAGGCAGGCTGGGGGAGGGGCACTGCAGCTTCTCCTTCAGAGCGCGAGTCAAAAACTAAACAGAAGGCGTTCAAATACCATCATCTGGTGTCCTCATCAACAGGCTGCTCTACGATTGCGCCTCGTAAGGAAAGCCTCGATTTAAACCGCTCATCTGAAGCGATGCAAAGAGAGCTCCAGGCTGAGCCTCGCTCACTGCTGCGGACGGCACATCTCTCAGAGGAAAGACGGCTCAGAACACAGGTCTGCAAGCGCAGAAGGACTTCCAGACCCACCTTCTTGAATTCCTTGATGAATTCGGCAGCTTTCACGCCACTCTCCACGTTGAAGCTGATGTCAACTTTGACCTCTGTGTACGAGTCTGTGAGTTTGATGATGGGCACCTAAAGAAGAAAGGAGAAGAAACTTAGGGGGCGAAGATTGTGAAGAACACAAGCCAGCGAGGCTGTTCCCTCTTCTGCGAATAAGAACTGTTAACTCTCAGGAAGGACAAACAGCATTTTCCCTTGATCAATTATTCAACACGAAAGAGATATTTGGACATTATTACAACCCCCTCCTGTCCCCGTTCCTCAACAAAAGGTGAAGGTGGCTCTGTGGCTCAGGATCTGCGCCTGTGGCTGGAAGGTTGTCGGTTCGTATCCCACGGCTGGCAGAGGAATCCTACTCCATTGGGCTCCTGAGCAAGGCCCTGAACCCCAACTGCTCCAGGGGCGCTGTACAATGGCTGACCCTGCGCTCTGACCCCCAGCTTCTCTCCCTGTCTGTGTGTCTCATGGAGAGCAAGCTGGGGTCTGTGAAAAAGACAAATTCCTAACACAAGTAATTGTATATGGCCAATAAAGTGATCTTATCTTAAAAGATATGCGCCCCCAACAGACTCAGACATTTGAATATTTTATGTAAGTTATAAGGACAGCACCTGGACATATGTTTGCAATAACAAAAAATGATCTGGTTTTAAACTGCTGTAATTTCCTCAAACGTCCCCACTGCGAGGTGACCGAAGCCACACAAAGCAACACACAAAACATCGCATCTCACAATGCAAAGCGCAGCCACGGCGCCTGTGGCGCCCCGCGAGGCAGCACCTACCGTCGCCTTGTCCAGCACCTTGACCGAGTTCTCATCCACCACGTTCTTCTTCCGCAGGGCCTCCTCCAGAGTCCACAGCGGCAGGTTGTCCCACTTCCCGAACACCACCAGATCGATATCGCTGGAAGGAGAAGACACCCGTCAGCCCCCCAGCGCGGCAGGCAGGAGAGGCCTCTTGCAGAGCAGCTTCTCCCGTTTTGTACAACAAGCCCTGGACTTGCAGGGGATGTACTGCCAACGCTGATGGCAGCCAGCATCTCGAAGTTTAAAGCACGTCTGGGTGACGTCTGCTTAGGGACTGCAGCGCTCCAGCTCCTCGTGCACGTTTGGCTCGGTCTGTTAGACGGCTGCTGTTTTTTGGCGTCGCGAGCAGATTACACAACCAGGCCCACGGCCACAAACCTCAGTGATCTGCTTTACAGGGGAGCGGACGAGAAGATAAAGGCTCACCTTGTCGGCAAATAGAGGCCAGTACTGAAGCTGCCAAATATCTGAACCTGAAAAACAAAACCACACAAAATTATCTACCACACAAAGACTCCGGTGTTCAGCACTGCATAAACTCACTGGCAATGGAGATCAAACTTCAAACATTCATAACGAAATGGAAAGAAAGCACACAAGCAATGCAAAGTTACAAAGCTTTATCTTTTTTTAGTGTCCACGTTGTGAAGGGTAGAATTTGAGCTGGATACTAAGTATGGCTCAACAGGTGAAGCCCGAACCCTAACCCCTGGTAACTATACCTGAAAACTGTTTTACCCCAAAAACCAACTGTGGTTTCCTTTTGCTGGAGTGAAGTGATCTACTCAAGGGTACGGCAGTGTCCTACTGGGGATCTGAACCCACAAGCCTCAGGTCAGGAGCCCAGACCCCCACTGCAAGCTGTTTCCCACCACAGTGGGCGGATGGCAGGGGAGGGACTGGCAGCGGAACGCCGGGAATTCGCTCCTGCAGCTCAGCAGGCAACAGGCTTGCAGGAGCACACTGAACACGGCGCGCAGTCAGTGGGAATAAAGACCCCAGAGAAGGATAAGGGGGCGCTGTGCACAAGATGAACCTGTAATGTATGTAAGGCAGTTTTCTTCCACCAGAACTGAGCGCACTCTTGACCACTCCGCACGGTCATTCGCAAGCCGTAGTCACGGCCAATTCAGCACGTCCACTTTACTGAACCTGGAGGCAGTGGGGAACAGGAGAGGGGTCCTGAGGGTCAAAGGTCCGAGTACCCAATGCCCACACTGCTGTTGTGTCTTTGACCCCGATTCCTCCAGCACGCCCACCGGGGTTAACGGACACTAACAGGGATGAAGGGCGGAGGTTAACCCACAGCGTTCCGCTGGCCTAATGCGAACGAAACTGGGAAAACAGTATTTAAATTACCCCCTCCCCCTGACACACCCAGCACCCAGGAGAGTCTTACATCCGCACTGGGCCAGAGGTCTTTAATCACACTCTCAATCCTCTTCACCACCTCCATCCTCATCCTCTCCTCCTCCGGCCGCGGCGACATGTAACCGTAAAAATCAATGATCTCTTCATGGAGCCTGCAAGCATGGGGGGAGAGAGAAGGGACAGTTAGAGAAAGAATCCCAGTGTGATCCCAGTGCTGCTCTTTTAAATTAAGCATCCGCATGGAGAGACAAAAGGCGGTACGATCACTGCACTGCCAGGTTTACTTCATTACCGTGCAATACTGGAAGCCTGCAATTTGGTTTACTTCACAAGCACATACAACTGCTCTCGCAGAAAGCCAGGAAAACCCGTTCTACCAGGTCGAGACGTCGCTCATCTTGTCCATGAGTTCCAGTTGTATAGACCAGCAGCCACTAGGCTCCTTGTCGCAGTGCCTTTACGGGGTATCAGCTCGTGACTGCATTCGCACGCTTTCTCCTTTCTCGCTTGTAGAATTCAACGGCGCGGCATCTCTTCGATCAAAATTCCAAAATTCAAACTGGCGTGACGTGAGCGCTAAGCGGATATCGAAATCGCGATTTCCGCCGAGATGCAACGAGGGATTAACGCAGTTTCGGAACAGGGCCAGCTCGCAGCTCTCCGAACCGACAGGCCCTGTGCCTGCTCACCCCGTCTACTGCAGTGGCTCCAATCCACCACCTGCACTGGCACTGTGCGAAAGCTACCGAATGAGGTAGAAAGTGCAGGCCGGAGTGGCTGGAATGCCTCCTACACCCAGCAAACTCACTATTGACTCTGTGAGGGCTGGCGGCTCTAACTTTCAGAGCTGGGTTTATCAGGCTTGCTGAACTAAAAGAACATGCTTTTTATACATACTGGCTTGTGCAATTTCACTGAAAAAATACATTAGTGTTGTTTCATTACCTGTTTTATTTAATAGCTCATTAAAGTAAAACCATTAAACTCTGTGAATACAACAAGGTTTTTCTGCCAATAATTGTTTCATTGCATGTCCAATCTGCATTCTTTCTGCAAAAGCTTTAGGGAACATTCCCTAAAGTCCGACATGTTGGTCGGATCGCTCCGATTCTTCCTATGCTCTCTGCAAAGCTTAACGCCAGAACTTGTTGGCTATCCTATCGTGCCCAGCGCCCCAGCAAACTGCCTTGGATTCTCCAAAAATCCACCTTGCAGATGCAACTGAAAACTTTTGTGTGGCACTGTCGATTTGACATCTGACCCTGGTCTATAATGCAAGTGCACAGAAACGGAAAAGTAACAATCACATTGCCCCACTGCAGCTTGAGGAAGGACCGAGAAGCAGTGCAAGAAGGTTCTTCACAGTTAAGCTGTATTTTTAAACCATGTGTATATTAAATGAAACCAATAGAAAGTGAATTCTACTTTGGTCATGAAGGCACATGTTTATTGGCTTCACAAAAAGGAGGGATGAAGGCGAAACACTGACTGCAGTACATCCGTGCGGATGCAGTGCTCAGCAGTCGAGTGATGAGTCGGCACTCCAACGTGCCTTTCTGAGCTACACTGGACAGTGTCCGTTCTGGCTGAAATGGCAACGGCTGACGTCTGGTTTCGCGCGGCCCTCGACGCCCGGCGGGAGCTGCCGAATCGCGCGGACAGGGAAGAGACACCACTCCCCTGTGCAAAGCGAGGCAGACACCGACGGTCAAAGGCAGAAAAAAAGTGAAGCGAAAACATTCTAAATTTCAACAGTCAAAGGCGTCTGCTGTAAGATTTCACACTGAAATCATTTTGAAATGCTTCACACTCCGGGAAGAGGCTCAAGGCTCCAGGGGTCAGAGGTCGACCAGAGTGCCACTGACATAAGCACTCAAAGGGTCAAAGGTCAGGACACTCATTTCCCCTTCCTCCAGGAAGCCGTCAGCGCGTGGCTGTGCAGTCCGTTACACAAGACTCAGCGTGACTCATCGCAGAACCCGAGTCCAAGGTCCGCCGAGCACAAGACCACACAGCAGTGGCCCCGCCGCACATGCAGAGACACAGCGTAAAGACTCGCAGCCTGACGGTGCGCGCTGCCTGAACACGCCCTGCGCAGCACCACACCTGCGTCAGGCCCATACCTGTGTGCCCAGGGGCCATGACTCATCCTGGTCCTTTCCAAACTCTAACAAGCCTTTTCATTCCTTTGCCAATCAAAAACAAAAAGACAGAGTTCTGTCAGACTGGATCAGTTACTTTTCTATGACAACTCTTGTGCTGTTCTTCAGCTCCTCACCCCTATCCCCAATTATATTCTTGATACCTCGATTCCTGAGGGAATTATATTACACTGAATGGGGAGGGGGGGGGGGGTGTCATATCTACAATATAAAGTAGAATTGACTTTATATTGGTATAGGATAGGGCTTTGTACAGCCCTAGGGTGCACTGCAGGATTCAATTTCACATTGACCATTCCAGAAATGCTCTGTTTTCGGTAAAAATAAAATGCAGTGCACCCCCACGCTCTTCAGCCTGAAATTGAACTACGGTTGTAAAACTACCGTTTGTGCAGCGTGCAGCTTTCTAAAACAAGAATTAAACAGAACAGGGCTCCTGCCTGATTGAGAAGCAAACGAGAAATTAAATTCAGACGGCTGGCTTTCAGGTGGCCTGACAGACACTTGTCTGAGTAAAAGGCCACTGACTTGGCAGAAGACACACCCTCAGTGCAGGGAAGGCAATTCGCAGCACCCTGGCTAGCAACTGCTGGAGAGGAACTCCACAAATCGAGGGGGAGGGTGTGCTTCAAATTCTCCCAGCACACACTTCCCCACTGCAGAGCGGAGGCCACTGGACGTAGCTGCAGATCACGTTAGGCATGCTAACCATGCGCACCGGAGAGAAACATGCCATCTCAGCACTGCCGGGCCTGCTCGTGCCAGTACACAGGAGGGTCAGCCACACTTACACCCCTGTGAACGAAACTGGAACAACGTCATCCCGCCCTCTGAAGAGAAATGAGAAAGGCGGTCAGTATCAGTTTCATTTTAGGATCTAGCGATAACCAGTATCCGTTTCACTTCAGGATCTGATGGTGAGTACTAGGACAGCAGCACAGGGGACCTCGGTGTGCAGCACTCCTGAATCACAGCAGTGCTTTCCAAAAATACTTGTACTTATTGTCTGCTACGTAAAACCACAGATGCAGATGTGCATGATTAAAGACCAGACGTGTCAGATCACCTTCCACACCCTTGATTAGGTATTTGTCTATAAAAACTCCCTGAAGTGCTTTAGCACTAACCTTTGTAGAGTCTGATGGAAAAAACAACCTTCTCCCCACACTTCACAAAGCACTCCGCTTGGAGAACGATGAAGGGCTTGTGCTACTAAACCCCACAGGGAGAAAACGGGTGTGGTGTTGGTTTTTTCATATCAAAAACTAGATCAGCAGCTTCTGCCATGAAAAGCAATTGTCATTTTATTGTTAAATCAGAAAATCACTTTTCAACACTATTAAGATCCATTGCCTGCAGTGGCTTATAGCTGTGAGAGGATGATTTCACTAGTGTCCATCATTACAATTAAGGTAGCCTGTAATTAAATATGCTTTCAGAGCAGGAAACGTGTATTTACAGAATGCGTGTGCCGTTTTCCTATATGCTAGTCCTGAATAATCACTCTTTAAGAATAGTCTCCATTGCACTGCACGGAGGAGCAGCAGGCTATAAATATTGCAAGGGAACCAGAGACAAAAATAACTGGGTTTCCAAGACAGAGAGCAATGACCAAAACAGCAGTGCCATCAGAGGAAAACCTGCCAAAGTCAGTGAAGGGCTTTCCTGCGTTTGCCAGATCACACCACCTTTTAGCCCAGCAACTGCCTGTGCCAGTCACACCCCCGACAGGCCACAGATTCGATTCCAACCAAACCCAGGTATTTACTAGAAATCTTCCCAGGGCTCAGTGCCATTCCACTATATGTATGCCATACATACCGAAAGGTTACCAATATGCATCGACAAAGCATTGGAGCTGCTAAACAGAAAAGCAGGAAGTGCCGAATAGTGTAGGAGGAATTTTCATGAAAATCACACACTGCAGTCAGTGTTTTTGTAAAAGAACCAGCATCTGAACATAGTGGCTCTCCATGGTATTTCCAAAGAAGCACAGCTTTGTAGAAAAAAAAAAAACGTTTCAGTGTTTTTTAAGCCATAAGAGAGACAAAGCCACAGGCCAATAGTGTCAGAAGAGGCCTCTGAGTAAGAAGCACAATAACGATCTCATAAATGTACAGAAATTTACAAGTTCTTGTTTACTGCGTTATGGAACGTTGAGCAGTGCTCATCCCATAAATAGGATCTGGCACCCTGTGACAGCTGTGGTTCTCAACCCCATGCTTAGTTTAGCAACAAACAAAATCTTCCAAAATTCCACCAGCTGAAAAACATCTGGAATCGACGTGCTTCCTGAGCTGAAAACACTGCCTAGCCCATACTCCTCACGCTGCTGACATCCCAACAGCACTGCATTCCACTCTCCACAACAGAAACCCATCCTTTACCCAAACTAACAACCCGGTCGGGCGATCCAGTTACAAGCCGGCGTGTTTGTTTTGAAAGAAACCTCTCAGAAAAACCACTTTCCTTTCTGTGAAAATGAAACACATGCTCACGTCTCACAATGCCCACAGAGAGCTGCGAGCACTCTGCGTGCTGGCATGGGGCCACACCATGCACGGTTCCTGGTTCTTATCGCACTTCCCAAACTCTCCCACGGCTTCCGGGGAACGCGATTCCCTCTTCTCTTTTCCCTGGCTTGTCCTGCCCGCGCTCTCCTCTCCTCCTCCTGGCAGGGGTCCCATCGCCTAGGTCCGCTCACCACAGTGCAACAGTGAGGGCTGCGGGGGACACTGCCAGACTCACAGACACAGCACGCCGAGGCCATAAAGCCTCTAGCTAAAGTATCTGACACATCTGAATCAACACCAGTCGAGCCCTTCTTCGGAAACAACTACAGAAGATCTGCTCTCAATTTCACACACCGATTAAGCATTCTCTGACTGGCAGCAGCCCCTTCTCGATGCAGTATTGCTCAAGCAGAGGCCTGTGGCCAAACAAGAACTCCAGAGGCCTGAAGCTCCACAGCCCATACAAACCCCACACAA